TCTGTGGTTTTACATCCCACCTCAAACTGTCCTGCAGACGCCACAGGTTACATCATCAGAACAGCACAATATGTCTACAACTTTGATGTTCATCTCAAATGCATAATTTATGTGATCATGTAAGTGATGCTGATTTTGTTGTTTTAAGCATAGATGTAGCAATGTTCAGTGAGGTTCAAAAGATATTTTGAAGAATTTTCAATTTGGTCCACTGACTTACTTTGTATGGACAAAAATATATTTCAAAATAAAATGTTTTTCTGCAGAAGAAATGCTTACAGATTTGGAACAACATTGGTTGAACATGTCAGCTGATCAAAATAAGAATTTAACAACACTGTTTTAAATTGATTAAAACACCATGGTATTAAAATAAGACTTCAAATGTAGCACATAAGTGTTCTTTGTCACAGTGAGAGCAAAGAGAGAATGGATGGGACTGTACCCATGCTATCAGGCTCCATAATGACAGTGTGAGAGATATGAGGAAACACGTTGATAGTGTCTCTCCTGGTGTCTTTGTAGAGGAACCTGTTGCCCTCAAAGTAAAGTCCATGGATGTCAACCTCTGATCCTAGTCCGGACAGATGCCAGGACACCTTATCACCTTTACACATACTCAAGCCTTTCAGATTCCCATACATGTATCCGTTGAGCGCTGTGAATGAAAAACCAAATATTAGCAAAAAAAATATGGTTTGTGTGTTTCAGAAATGCAAAAATGTTTTCTCAAGGAGTGTGACTAAGGCTTACAGTGCATTTTATTGGACTCTTGAAAATCTTCATCTTCTCTATTTACAGATTTAGGCTGTTTTGCGAATCTGTTGATGTTGTCATCCAAATACCAGCTCAGGTTCTCGTCAAACACAGTTGCAAGAAGGTGGAACTCTTTGTCCACGTTTTTCTGGGATGGGAAAAAAAATATATTGGCAAAACTCTACACATTTTACAAATGTGAAAATGCTCAGCATCCTCGTCCCGCACCTGCTTTCCTGATTTGATGGTTTTGGGCTTGCAGATCAGAAGAGGTCCAACCAGCCCAGAGTTGGTGTCTCTAATGGGATCCACCGCTGAGTAGTACATGTAGGTGATGCAGTCTGGATCTTTTTCGGTCGGTCCTCCATCCTTAGGAACCAGCCACTCATACTGGTAGGTGGTGTCAGGTCGGACCAATGCAGCAGGAAGTGGCTCGACCACTCCTGAAAGAGATGAACAACATACAACTTCAACATTTCTACATTCAGTGATTGTTTTTGTTTTTTTAATTCTTATTTTTATTTTTTGCCTTATAAAAAATATGAAGGACCAGACTTGATTTTACCAAAGAATTACCAAGATGGAATCAGAGCTGAATGGGGACACTTAATATTTGTCAATATTGTCGGCTTGATTGCACAGACACTATTGGAAGATAACTGAACTGAGCTGGACGATGATATCACTGAATCAATGATGCCTTTAACTGGAAAAAACTAAACTGTTTACTATTGTCCTCTTTTTAGAGCTGCGTTAAAGCAGAGTTGAATTGTGTTTGCATTATCGAAACATTATTTTCCTGTTTAACACTGTAAAGCTGCTTTGACACCATCTGTATTGTATAAAGAGCTGTATAAATAAAGGTGACTTGACTTGATTTGACTTGGATAGTGCAAGGTTGTCCAGTCCTGCTCCTGGAGGGTCAATGTCCTGTAAAGTTCAGCTCCAACCAGAGCCAACACACTTTCCTAGAAGTTTCTAGTGATCCTAAAGACCATAGTTGGAAGGTTTTGGTTGTGTTTAATTCGAATATTAGGATTCAAGATAAACCACTGCAATGCAGGTGCAGGATTTGACACCCATGGGATAGTGGATCATGAAACACCGCCAGTACCCATTTTTAAAGGGCTTTTTGACTGGAATAAGAAAGAATCCCTGCAACCCTACATATTGGTTTAGAAAATGGATGGATCAATAGCTAGTGAATGGATTATGAAGACTTTTTTTTCATATAGAGTAATGTGAACTGTGAATTGTTCACAATGAGACCAGAAACAAGTATTAAGGAAGCGAATAGGGTGAATTTGATTCAGTTTTCCCCTCTGTTCGTTCTCGGTAAAGCAAGTCATGCGTTCACTATCACCCAGATAATTCAGAGAGGGAACTTTGGTCTCATGGATTTGGACTGATTTGTTTGATTTGTTGAGTCCAGCCAGGACTGGAAAATACACTTTTGCGCAATGATCCCTGGCCTTGATTCAAAATTAGACTTAGTAGACAACAGTCTGGGTTTGCTTATCCCTTCATTTCCAGATCTTTCTGTATATCAGTGAGCTCTTTTTCTTACTTGCTTCTTTCTTGAGTTCACGAAGCTTCTTGGCAGTGTATGACTCTGCATAGAAAAAAAAAAGAATGATATTTAGTTTAAGTCTGTCATACATTTTTATATATTTATTCAAAGAGGTTTGTTCTGTACCTTCCAGGACGTTGTGGTAGAGAGTTCCATCCATTTCTATGTTATATTGCACTCCGTGAGGTTGGATACTGTAGGGCCTGCTTGCTTTATTTCTAAATGTTACTTTAATTGTGTCCTCTTCCTCTGCTCTGATGATTGGACCTAAAAAAACATCCCATAAACACTAATTTATACTTTTAATAATCTCATAACAATCACAGCTGTCACAAATTCAATACAAATAAAATCTGCAAATCACTGCTGTTCATTCTGCTCTGTCGACAACATTTGTGTACCCATAGAAACTGCTTTTTTATTACCCAGAATTCCCAGATGCTGCTCCTCAGGGGTCCTCTCTTTGCGTTTGGAGAATGTGTCGTCAGTATATTCCACATACTGGACCTTCTTGTATTTGCCCCCAATGCGATCATTGCGGTTTTCAAAGAAAGTGTCAGATACACTGTGGATATTCAGAGACACACGCTCAAATGTAAGGACAAAAGGACATTCCCTTTGACTTTAATATGTCTCTCAGTATAGAGATTAAAATCATATTTTTACCTGTCATCAGCTAGTTTCTTCCCTGAATACTGGTTTATCCCCGTTGGCCCATAATCCCAAATGATTTCCTCAGCGGCAATGTAATACTGTCTCACTTCTCCAAACGGTCTGGGTTTATGCACATTTGGGAAACACTTCTTAATCTCAAAAATGGCTTGCATGCCAGCTAAAAGTGGGGA